CAATAACGTCACACCCCAACACTGGGGCCTTTCCCCTCAGGGGTCACTTTCTTGGCACGGTAGCGGGGGGCTTCAGTTGCAGATTTTGCCCCTGGGCCCTAAAAACCTCTGTGCGGCTCTGAGAGCCCCAGACAGCTAGTTAGCAAACCCAGCAGCTGATGGCCCCATAACACCTTCCAGCAACACCCTGCCCCTCAGCTCTGCCCTGCCCCCCTCCCCCTGCTCGAGGGCAGCGCACTGACCCCTGAAGGACAGCTCCCAGCCAAAGGAAAAGAAGCAGTGATGGTGGGGGAAAGAGTGAGAGTGGGGGTAGGGGAAGCCTGTTCTTTGCTCTGCCTTGTTCCCCATCAGTAACCCCTGGGATCCGGGGCTTGTCCAGCCATGAGGGGTCATAGGCAGAGCGTCATTTGGAATGAAAGAGGCGCTGGGGCTATGAATTGCCAGCCCCAGAGGTGCCGGAGCTCAGCCCTGGAAGCCTTGATACAAATTAAGCCCTGGTTTTAGGTGGCTGCCCCAGTACCACTGCCCAGGTCTGATCCAGCCCCTCCGCCTGCCCCCCATTGGCTCCTGAATTACACCAGCCCGGGGGAGTGAGAGGAGGATCCGGCCCTGGGCAGGATCCTGCCAAGCCCGTCTGCATCCTGGGACAAAGCACTTTTCTTCGCACTGGCTGCACAGAGCTGCCTGCAGCCCCACCTCAGGTGGGTCAAGGTCCAACCTCCTCCACCTGCCAGCGAGCTGCTTAAAAGGGCAATGCCAGCCTTTCCCTGGCCCAGCCCGGGGCTGGCAGCTCAGTGCTGGCTAATGGGCCCATCCGTGTGCCTGGGCTCTGCCAGATAGCGACCCCCCAGCAACTTCCCAGCACTGGTGTTGGTGCCCTCCCCTCATCCACTGTGATCTCATTTATCCCCCCCCCACGCCTGTCTATCCCTCCATCCCCTACCCACCCATCACCTAGCTAGCTAGCTATCCATCCCCGCAAACTCCCCTCTGGCTATCCCTCCAGCCCTACACACCCAGCATCTGTCTAAACTAACCTATCTAGCCCCCACGCCCCCCATCTAACTACCCATCCCCATACACCCCCCCCAGCTATCTAGCTATCCATCCAATCTAGCTAGCTAGCCCCATACACCCCCCAGCTATCTAGCTACACTCCCCCCCCACACACACACTCACTGCTATTGTGTAACGATCATCCCCCCAGCTCTCTTCACCCCCACTAGAGCCAATGCACTTTGTAAATGGAGACTCAAAGCCCCAGCAGCCCTGGGGGAGCCAGACGGGGCTGGGGCCAGATTTTAGCAGGAGTGCGAATCAGATCTTGGTGAGATCTCCTGAGCCCTTCAGCGCGTCCCCTTCCTTCGCTAATGAGACGAAACTCCGCCGGGGCTGCCCCCCCCCCCCCCCGCTGGTGCCACTTCATAGACTCCACTGACAGCCGGAATGTACCGGGGCGAGGTCAGCCCGAGTGAGCAGTTTGCACAAGCTACAAAGGACCCAGGGGTTGCTGCAGTAAAGTTACACTGATGGGACCAGCAATTTCAGCAGGGTGGGTCTGTGCGTGTGACACCAGAGGTGTGTGTGTGCCTGCGCACGAGACCCTGTGTGTGTGTGTGAGAGAGAGAGACCCTGTGTGTGCAAGATCATGCGACTCCACGTGTGACCCTGAGTGTGTGAGAGAGAGAGAGACCCTGTGTGTGTGTGAGATCATGTGACTCCACATGTGACCCTGAGTGTGTGAGAGAGATCATGTGACTCCACGTGTGACCCTGTGTGTGTGAGAGACCCTGTGTGTGTGAGAGAGAGACCCTGTGTGTGTGAGATCATGACACTCCACGTGTGACCCTGTGTGTGTGAGAGACCCTGTGTGTGTGAGAGAGAGACCCTGTGTGTGTGAGAGAGATCATGTGACTCCACGTGTGACCCTGTGTGTGTGAGCGATCACGTGACCCAGTGTGTGATTGGGCGGGTGCCTGCCATGGACTAGTGCATGCCGGCAGGGTGGGTGGTGCTGCCGCCCGATGGGCTGGCCATGCCAGGAAGGATGCGGTCCCGGGTTAAGCGTGGGAGGAGGGACACCATGAGGCTCCCGCAGGTCACTGGGCCAGGCTTGAGCTGCCCGAGCGCTGTAGCTGTCACACACACAGGACACCACAACCTGGCCTGTTTGCTTGTTCCCTCCCCGATCTGCCACCCCAGCCCGAGGGGCCGGGGAGAAATACGGCGGCTGAGCAGCACCAGGGGACAATGTGTAAGAAGGGGCACCCCGCACCGACGCACCTCCCTTTGCCAGGGGGGCGCTGGAGAGCAACACCCACGGCCCTCTCCCCACAGCCCCTGCCCCCCTCTTTGCAGGGCTCCCCACACCCCAGGCATAGTCCTGGGGCGGCAGCCCTGTGTCTCTGGGCCCGGGGCCCTTGCAGGGAAATCCAGTCCATTGGCTGCCAACAGCCAGGCCCGAAGCCTCCACCCGCCACACACGCTGGCAGCTAAAGCCCCTGCCTCGGCCGGGTGCACTGGGTGCCAAGGAGCCCTTTGCCCTTTTAAGGCCCCGGGGTGGGCGTTGCTGGGGCTGTCCAGGATGCCGGAGATCCTGGTCTGAAGCAAAAGGCTTCAGTGTTAGGTGCCACCAGCCTGTCTGGGTAACAACCTGCTCCCTGCAACAAGGCGAAGGTAGGTTGTGCCGCATAGTTGCCCCAGGCCCAGCCCTGGGGCCCCGCACCGGGCATGGAGCCCCCCGGCCACTCCCAGCCGGCGCCTGGCGCTCAGGAACCAGGGGATTATAGAAACGCAGCGATCAGCGGGACCAGGGACTGACTTCCCCAGGCACCTCCTGGGAGACACGCAGCTTCGCAGCCAGGGCTTTGTGAACCAGCAGAAAGTGTTTCCCGTGTGGCTGTGTACACGCGTGTGGCTCTGCACGCATGTTCACTGTGTGCGTGTGCACATGTGCCGTGGGAGTTTGCATGTACGCTGCGTGTCTGGCTGTGTGGCGAGCGTGTGACCCACAGGTGCTCAGAGGGGTGCTTGGGGGGAGCAGCGCCGGGCCCTGCACTGCACATGACGGGCCCCGCTCACAGACCACAGGTGAGACTTGTGCAGGTGAAATTCAAGGCCTTAGGGATGGGTCTGGGCGGCTCTGCCCTTCCCCCTGCACAGCTGGGCTGAATCGCTGGGTCCCCAGGGCGCAGCCTCCTGTGAGGGGATGCCCAGCCAGCCCTGCGGTGCGTGGGGTGCCTGGTGCTCTTGGGGCGGGGGGAGAGGGGCAGTGACACTGCCTGACCTGCTCTCTGTCTGTCTGTCTGTCCCAGATGGGGGAGCCCGGCAGCCCCGCACTCCAGGCTGTTCTCTTCGAGCCGTTCCCCACCAGCACCGTACCGAGCCCAGATCCCCCGTTCGCCCTCTCAGAGCAGGCTCCCGCCCTGGAGAAGGGCTTTGAGGAGTGGGCCGTCAGCGGGGGCAGCGTGAGTCAGAGGCCGAATGCAGGGGGGGAGGGGAAGGGCAAGCCGGGGGCTCAGACACTAGCCCAGGTGGGCTCCCCAGGTCACCTGCTCTGCAGCACGGGGGCAGGCAGGTGCAACATAGCCCAGGTCGTGGGGTCCACGCTTCCCAGGGCCCTGCCCCAGGTCCTTAGCCCCATGGGGCCCTGCCTGCCTCCCTGGGGGGGTAAGGCTGGCCTGGCCCCTCCCTGCCTGGGGGATCCCTCTCTGCCAGCCTTCTAAGGCAGCCACCTCTGGGGAGGGAGCCAGCAGCGGTCCCACCACATGCAGCCAGGGGCCAGAGAAGGGTCCCATTGGGCTTTGGCCCGGGCAAGGGAGGTCAGGCCCCACTCGCGGCAGACGGGCCCTGGCATTGCCGAAAGCGCCAGCAGGCAGGGCCTGGGCGCCCCAGCCCCATTCCGAGGCCTAGCACCGCCCACCACCCCGAGGTGCCCCCTCCGGCTCCTGGGTGTCTCCCAGCCACGTACCAGCCCAGCCTGGGCTGCCTCCCGTGCCGGGCAGGCCAGGGCTGCCGGCCCCAGCCAACGTCCCCGGTGCCCGTTGCAGGGGCTGAACGACAGTGAGCCCGAGGACTTCCTCAACGTGCTCATCGACCCCAACGAGGTGTACAGCCCGGGCAGCGACAGTGGCATCTCGGACGAGCCCAGCTCAGCCAGCCCCCAGCCCAGCGAGGGGGCCCCCGCCGCCTTCTGTGACCAGAGCGCCCCCCTCCACAGCGACGTGGTCTCCATCCAGCTGGGTGAGCGCGGCGCGGGGCAGCCGGCCCTCTGCTGTCCAGGGCGGCTGACTCTGGGGCACGGATCACAGCAGCGGAGACGCCAGCGTGGGCTCCCTGCCCCTCCCAGGCTGGTGTTTAGTGGGGGGGGAGCGCAGCCTTAGGGCGAGGGGAGTCAGTCGTCCCCCTGAATGCTCCACGCTCGCCCTTGTCCTGCCAATGGGGCGGGCCGGCGGAGATGAGCGCTCCCAGAGTGCAAGGGGGCAGCTTGAGACAGCCACGTTGCATGCTGGGAGCTCCCATCCATGCCCCCCTGTCCATCCCTTCCACTGCCCCCCCCCCATCTCTCTGTCTGTCTGCTGCACTTTGTACCCCGGAGCCCCGATGTCACCCCGGGCCTTTGCCCCTCACCCCAGGAACAAGAATCAGCATTTGAGCCCCCGCCGGCCCCGAGCCCCAGCAGCTCCTCCCCCCCCCAGCTGGGAACCAGAGAGGTGTGTGTGTGTTGGGGGGGGGCTGAGGGCAGCGTCTCAGGCCCCCACGCCCGGGGACGCTCGCCCAGGTGGAGGTGGGCCGTGGGGATGGGCCAGAGGAGCAGAATCCCCACTCAGTCCCGGCCTTAGCAGCTCCCGCCCCGCCTTTCCCAGTCTGGGCACACGGGACGGGGCTCTGCCCCAGGGAAGCAGCCATCCCTGCCTCATCCCTGACCCCCGTGTTGTGTCTCTGGCCCCAGGTGACTGGTCGTCCCCCCTGCTGATCCCTGAGGCCTGCATCGTGAATGAGCTGCCGTCTGCACCCCCGTCCGCCCTGGCCAGGCCTGGCACGGTGCCCATGGTGGTGAGCGCTGGGGACATGCAGGCAGCTGTGACCCTGGTGAGTCGGGTCAGGATCCCCTCCTCACGCTGGACTGTCCAGCGGGGGCTCGGCTCCCCCCTGCCCCCAGCAGCAAGGAAAACACTTGGTTTTCCCCTGGTCCCAGCCCCACGCCCCACGCCCCCTGCTCCCCACCTGTAGCTGAGCTGCTGCCCACAGTGCCCGAGGTGCCGCCCGTTCCCCAAGCCCTCTCTAGGATCAGAGAGAGTCGTGCCCCTCCCCGGCCCAGAGGGATGGGGGGGGATGGGGGAAGGGGAGGGAGGACCCCGCCCCGGGCTCTGCAGAACGTGATTCTCTCCAGCAGCTGCAGTTCCCGGATCTGTTCCTGACGGACGAGGAGAAGCGGCTGCTCTCGCAAGAGGGGGTGTCCCTGCCCCGTAACCTGCCCCTCACCAAGGTACAGGAGCCAGCGGGCGTGAGTGTGCGGGTGGGAGCCAGTACCGTCCGGAGCGTGCAAGGAGCGTGCAAGGAGCGTGCAAGCCTGCACGAGGGCACGGGAGCGTACCCATGTGCGCAGGCCCAAGAGGAGAGGGTGACTGCTGGTGCAGGTTTGCAGGGCAGAGCCTGTCCACAGGGGAGCCCATCCTGCCTCAGGCATGCGGCCAGCAGGTTTTATGACTCACCAGCTCCACCAAGCCGGTGCAGCCGGCCCCAGGGCAGGGAGTGGCCAGTCCAGCGCCACCCACCTGGCCCTACCCGCCCCTGCAGGGCCTGAGGGCTGGAAGCCCTCCTCATGCCCAGGGCAGGCAGGGCTGCAGCCACAGAGACCTGGCTGTTAACCCCCAGGGCAGGGGGAGCCCTGGGGAGGCTCAGACCAGAGACAAGAACAGGGACTTGCCCCCCCAAACCAGCTCCCTGCAGCTGGGACCCCTGAAGCCTGGGGGGACGTGAGCTGCGCTGCTGGAGGGCAGGGGGAGGCGGCCCCGCTGAGATTTCAGGCGGCATCTGCCCCCCAGGCCGAGGAGCGGCTCCTGAAGAAGGTGCGGAGGAAGATCCGGAACAAGCAGTCGGCCCAGGACAGCCGGCGGCGGAAGAAGGAATATATCGACGGGCTGGAGAACCGGTGAGAGTGGGCCCCCACCCGCGCACAGACCCCCCCGCGAGGGCACTGCCGGCCCTGCTCAGAGCCAGACACCGGAGCATCCCCCACTGCCGAGCTGACCCTTCTCCGGCAGAGCCTGTGCCACGGGCACCAGGTGTCTGGGCGTGCGGGGGCAGGGAGGGCTCTGGGAGGGCAGCCGGCAGGGACCCGAACCCCCCTTGCTCTCTTCTCCTGGCAGGGTGGCAGCATGTTCAGCCCAGAACCAGCAGCTGCAGAAGAAGGTGCAGGAGCTGGAGAAACACAATTTGTGAGTGCAATGCATCCACCAGCCCCCACGCCCCGCCCAGGGCTGGGAGAGAACCCAGGAGTCCTGGCTCCCAGCCCCCTCTCGCTCTAACTGCTAGACCCCACTCCCCTCCCAGAGCCAGGAGAGAACCCAGGAGTCCTGGCTCCCAGGCCCCCCCCCACTCTAACTGCTAGACCCCACTCCCCTCCCAAAGAGAGGCGAGAACCCAGGAGTCCTGGCTCCCAGGCCCCCCTGCTCTAACCGCTAGACCCCACTCCCCTCCCAGAGCCAGGAGAGAACCCAGGAGTCCTGGCTCCCAGCCCCCCCTGCTCTAACCGCTAGACCCCACTCCCCTCCCAGAGCCAGGAGAGAACCCAGGAGTCCTGGCTCCCAGCGCGCCCCCGGTCCCAGCCCCTGAGGATCAGGGTGCATTAGCAGAGCTGTGGGGAAGCCATTGGAAGGTGCGGGGGTGTTGGAGGGTGGCTGGTGATGCAGGGGGTCCCTGACACGATGGTGGCACAAAGGCCAGTGGGTGAGCACCCACCTGGCTTCGCTGCTGGGTTCTGTGCCCCTCCCTCCTCAGGAGCCCCCCTCAGACGCTGTCTCCTCCCCACAGGTCCCTGCTGGGCCAGCTGCGAAAGCTGCAAGCGCTGATCAAACCCACGTCCAGCAAGGCAGCGCAGACCAGCACCTGCGTCCTGGTATGGGCCGAGCTCCCGCGCCCGCGGCCCCACAACGGCCTGCTCCGGGGCGGGCACAGAGCGCACGGCCCCGCGCACGGCACAGAGCGCACGGCCCCACGCATGGCACAGAGCACGTGGCGCCTCGCACGGCACAGAGCGCACGGCACAGAGCACACGGCCCCACGCATGGCAGAGCACGTGGCGCCTCGCACGTCACAGAACGCACGGCCCTGTGTACGGCCCTACGCATGGCACAGAGCACATGGCGCCTCACACGGCACAGAGCGCACAGCACAGAGTGCATGGCACAGAGTGCACGACCCCACGCACAGCACAGTGCACGTGGCGCCTCGCACGGCACAGAGCGCACGGCCCCACGCATGGCACAGAGCCCATGGCGCCTCGCACGGCACAAAGCGCACGGCGACACCCACACAGCACTGCGCACAATCCACGTCTACGCACAGCCTTGCACAGCCAGACAGTCCCGCTCCTGTGCACACCCACACAGCCCGGGCCCCGCTGTGCACCCACTGACCCCCCCCCAAGCAACCCCCACCCCCTCACTCCTGCACAGGGGCTGGGCTTTGACTGTCTCCCTCCTCCTGCAGATCCTGATCTTCTCCCTGGGACTCATCATCTTCCCCAGCTACAGCCCCCTGCGCAGGGGGGCGCGGGGCAGCCAGGACGGCTACCAGCCCACCGGAGGTAACAGCCGGGACGCTGGGGGGTGGGGCTGAGCTGGGGGGTGGGCGGAGCTTCCCCATGGACCCAGGGAGGGGTCAGAACCGAACACCCTGCCCCAGGGCTGACCCTCTCCAATGAGCTCCCCGGAGCTGTTCCCCTCCAGGGCGGATTCCTGGCGCTGCCTGGCCTGGTGCTGCCCAAAGGGATCTGTCCAGAGACCCGGCCACAGACAGCATCTGTCTCCCCCCCGAACCCCCACCCCACTGGCACAGGGCCCCCCGGCACTCCCACCCTGCTGACACAGGGCCCCCTGCCCCACCAGCCCCCAGCACAGGGCACCCCCCATTCCCCCACCCCCTGGCACAGGGCACGCCCTGGCAGCCAGCCCCTAACGCTGCCCTTCCCCCCACACCCCAGTGATCTCCAGGAACATCCTGAACCAGGGGGAGTTCTCAGAACTGGCCGAAGCCCCCGGCACCCAGGAGCCACTGGCCCCAGAGCCTGAACCACCCGTGGGGGAGCAGCTGGGGCCTGAGGCCGCAGCGGAGGATGGAGTGGAAGGGGCAGACGGGAGCCAGAAGAAGGGCACAAACACGTCTGCTCAGACCCAGCTGGAGCAGCCGGCGGCTCCCATGGGGCTGCCCCAGGGGAACGGACCCGGAGCCAGCAGGGACGCAGCTAAGTCAGTCCATGCCGACGAGATGTGAGGGGCAGCAGGGACCAGACTGGCCGGAGAGCTGCTTTCCCAGGGCTGGCTGGGGGACGGGGGGCACAGCATCTCCAGGGGCCCCCTGGGGCACTTGCCGAACCCCCTCTCCCCACACTGGTGTCAGTGCTGGCATGAGGGGCCGGGCGAGGGAGCCAGCCCCAGCTCTCATGCCCTGGCCAGCCTGGCTCGCTCCCCGGTCTCTGTGCAGCTGGGACGTCCCCCTCTGGTGCCTCCTGCCGAGTCAGCTCCGGGGCCTTGCTGGGGCACCTGGCATGGCAATAAATCCCTTCCCCCCCCCGTGGGGCACTGCCAGGCCAGGAACAAGGGGGGCCGCATGCAGCTCCCCAGCTGTGCTCTGAATGGCCCAGAGCTCCCTCCCCGACCCCCAGCCCCTGGGTCACACCAGGCTCCCCACGCAGGGCAGAGCAGCCTGGCCCACTGCTTCCCTGGGACGGGCAAAGTGCTCTCAGGAGCCACGCTGCACCTGTGCCTGCCCCACGCCGCCCTTAAAACACGGGGGGCTCTGAGGCCAGGTAGCCCCGGGCAAGCGGGCCAGCTCATCGGATCACCTACAGGGCTTGGATCAAGCCACCCACGCCCTTTCCTGGGCTACCTGAGAGAGTCCCCAGCCAGTGTTGGGCTGCGGGATCCCAGCCGCTCCTGCCCTCGGCGCTGCTGGGTTGTCCCCGGCCCTGGAGGCCCTGCTCCGCACGGCCCCTTTGGAATCAGCCCCGGCTGCCTTACTGGGGGCATCTCCCCCTGCCATGAGGTTTGTAGCAAGCCTGGGAAGACAGGAGGCTTCTGACACCTTCAGCCCTTGTCTAGATTGTACTGAGCACAACACGTCTTCCGTTCGTCTTGTACCCTGGCCTTCCTCCTCCACGTGCGGCCAGGTCTTTTCACGCTAACATCTTCCCAGCTCTTTGGAGGTCGGCCGTGGTCATTTCAGTTCCCGCGGGGACCGCTGGGCGACAGCTGCAATCCATCGATTGTCAGTGAGACTCACTAGATGCTGGGCCCATCGCCTCACTGTACCTGCTCTCAACGACGACGTCCCGCACTCCACTCTGCTTCCCTGGGGACTCGGGCGCGGGTTGAAGTTCCCAGAATTGTTCTTTCCCTCGCCCGCTCCGTGACAGACAGTTGCTGCTCCTCTGTCTTCGTCAGCGCTCACGTTTCGCTGCCGTACAACCTTGCTGGCCGTGCCGTTGAGTGGAAGAGGCTGGCGCGTGTTGCCTTGTTGATTTTTCCTTGGCGGGCAATCGTGAAGATCTAAAGAACTATCGTCCAATAGGCCTGCTCTCGCATGTCTACGAGCTGCTCACCAAAATAACAACCCGACTCTCTCAGAGTCTGGACGAGCAGCAGCTTTCGAAGGAATTTCAGCACAATGGGCCATATTTTCACAATAAACCAGCGATTGGACCGCTCCGGGGAATACACATTCCCTTCCTGTAGTGCCTTCGTCGACGATGAAAACGCGTTCGACGGCGTAGAGACCAGTGCGGGGCTGAAAGCTCTCGCAGAGCAGGGCATCGACACAAACTATATCAAACTACACAGGAACCAAATTCTGACGGCACTACCGCTATAACTTTGTTTGATACCCCCCTTTGCAAGACAGGTAAGAAAGGTGTGAAACAAGGAGAGACGGTTTCCCCGAAACTCTTCACAGCCTGCCTCAAAATGTTAATGCGGCGGATGAATTGGGAGGGTGGAATCAACATCAACGGAGAACAGTGAAACCATCTCAGATTCGTGGACGATATCGTGTTGATCGCTGAAAATACTACCAGCCTAGAGAAAATGCTACGAGAACTCAAGACAAAAAGCAGCCAAGTTGGAATGAAAATTCACCGCTCCAAACCGAAATGGACGCGGTTTGGTACCTGGCCGAAAGCCCGAGTAACAATCAATGGAGAACCAATCGAAGACGTTGAGCAATACGTCCATTTGGGCCAAGAAATGAGCATCAGGAAGGTGAGCGCTCGCGAAGAACGAAAGCAGGTTGGGGCGCATTCAATTCTCTCAAGGCGGCTTTTGACTGGAAGGAAATAAGTAGCCGCAGTCAAGCTCCGCCCACAAGCCCCAAACTCCTCCCACAATTCCACATTGCCCAGCTGTTTCTACTAAAATGCTCAGCCAGGCAATTGTCCACCATTAGGTTCCAGAGTCAGCACTGTACCCCAGGCTGCTGGCGCCTCTCTCTGTGCTCTCTGCTGACCTGTTTCGTGGGAACCAAAAGGGCTAGAAATGTGCCGTTTCAGACTAAAGCTTTAATGCTGCCGGCTGCACCAGGTGCAGGAAAAGGCTGGTCTGGGCGGAGCCTGCCCCCGGCCCGTTGCAGGGAGCTGGGTCGTATTGCAGGGCGTGCTAGTGGCACGGCTGTTTTCTGTTATGAGCCCCCACTTACCCCGTGCCAGTGGTGGGTGGTGTCTCTGGTTAATAAACTATCCTGTTTAGTTTTCACCCGGCTCTGGGCTGGTCTGGGACGGGCGGCTCCGGGCGCAGAGAATGAGAACACATTGCTGTGAGGATCTCAAAGCACCTAACCGGCTCCGCAGAAACATGGGGTTTGCTTCACCTAGCACTGAAATGCAGCTACCTCTGGGGTGGCCCTCAGCAGCTGTGCGACAGCAACGTACACAACAGATTGGGCCCGGAAGTGAAGAAAAGGATCAGATCCAACCGGAACAACAAGGGGAAGCCTGAGCTGGAGGCAGGGCTAAGACACCACAACCTGCCAGGGGTGAATGTCATATCTAATCGCAGCCCCCCCTCGCACAGAGCGCACCCCTCCCCCACACCCTGCAGCACAGGGCATGGGGGTCAGCACGGCTGCCAGGGGAGCCCCTCAGCCCCAGTGCTGCTGGGCTGGGCTCTGTGTCCTGCTGCCGCTGGAGGGAACAGGGCCCGGGAGCTGCCTGAGCCGACGCCGGCCCCACCTGGGACCGACACGGGGGGCTCCGGCCCTCGCAGGGCTCTGCTGATGGGCTGAGCAGGGCAAGGGCCCAGCCCTGGGATTTTTGGCTCTACACAGAGATGGCAAAAAGCCAGTAGTGCCAGCGTTAGCGCTGCCTCCCGCCGCCCTCCTCCTCCGGTGCCCAGGGAGCCGGCTGCCTCCCGAGCGCCCCGGCCCCGCAGCAGCCCCGGGCCTGCCCGCACTGGGTGTTCAGGGGGGCTCCTGGGCATGGAGCAGCCGGGGTCAGGGACTCTGGGCGCCCATCAGGCCGGCTCCTGTCCGGTGCCACTCAGCCCCTGGCTAGAGACCTCAGGCTGCCGGGGGCTCATTGTCCCTGCCCTGGGCCCTGCTGCAGATGCTCGTGCCCCCCAGTGGGGCGTTGGGATCTGGGGCGGTTGGCACCCCCCACCCCCCAGGTGGAGCCGACACACAGGGAGGGGCCAGGCCGCAGCGCCAGGCTCATTCCCACACAGCTGATCTGTTAGAAGCTGCAGCCCGGGCCCCCCCGTCCCCCGCCCTGCCCTGAGCCCCCGGGCATTTGCGTCACTCAGGGAAGGAGATTTCCGGCCACGTGGGCGAGATGAGCTGTTCAGGGAGCCCCTGAACCCCAGCGCTGCACTAATGAGGCAGCTCGGGGGCCCAAGGGGCTGCTTGGCTGGGGCTGGCGGGGGCCGCTGTGTGGCTGGGGGTGAAGGGGGGGCACCGGATCTTCCCACGCGCCATCGTGATGGGTCTGCTCCAGCCGAGCCCCCGCGTTCTAGCCCCCTGGGGGGGTTCTAGCCCAGCCCCCACTCTGATGGGGCCCCTCAATCTCGTCCCACAGCCCCCTGCTAGCCCAGCCCTGGAGCCCCTCCCCGGCTGCGCGAGGCAGATTAATATGAATGGCTTTTAGCTGAGGCTTCCCCACGGACTCATCCCTCAGCGAGGGGCGGCAGCAGGGCTGGCTCCAGAAAACCAGGCGGGGGGGAGAGCCGGGACTCCTGGGTCTATGCCAGCCTCTGCCACTTGCTCAGCGTGTGGCCTTAGGCAAGTTGCTGCCCTTTTTGTGCCTCAGTTTCCCCAGGAACAACACGAGTCGCCAGCCCCCTTGGGTGTCTGTGACGCTCCGTTAGTGACCAGACGGACCCGGGGACGGGCCATGACCTCTGCCGTGGCTGCAGCCAGACTCCTGGGCCAGCCTCACTGACCCCTGACATCAGGGCCCAGGGGGCCAGGAGAGACCAAGAGGCTGATGGGATGGAGCTGATCCCCATCTCCGCTCGTGCCCCCCGGCTCTCCCCCCACCGGGGGCCACCAAGCCCCTTTTCTCCTCAAACCCAACTGCTCATCCGCAACCCCCCCTTCCAACCTCCACTGGTGCCGCTCCCCCATCAGCCACCCCGGGGCGCTGCCGGTCACCCCCTGGCCAGGCACCCGACGCGCCGCAGGACGTGGTTAATCCCAGTGCAGACTGGCGGGATTAGCGGGGGGGGGGGCGGATTAGCAGGGCTTGTTCATCCCTTACATAACCTGCCACATGGCGCGCAGGGCCGGGGGGCGGGGTGGGGACTCTGCTGATTTGGATTCATGGAGGGGGCTGGTGCTGGGCCAGTGTGGGGTGGGGGGTCCCTCGGGCCGGCGCCTCATATTCGGGGGAGTGACTCGTTCTAGCAGCTCGTGGGCAGGAATGTGTCTGTTAGCGCCCGCGCAGCGATGCCGGGCTGGTGGGGCAGGGCTGGGGCCGGCTTTCTCCCTCCCCCCAGATCCACCCGTTGTGCCAGGCGCTGCCCAGAGATCTCCCAACCCCCCATGACACCTCAGATCCATCTGCTGCGTGTGGGGGGAGCTCGCAGGCCCCTGCCTCTCCACAGCACTGGCTCTGCCCAGCGTCCCCAGGCCCTGCACTGGGCACAAATCCAGGGTGAGCTCACGGGGATGGGCGAGTGCCAGGCGGGAGCCAGGCGCTGTCCCACAGGGGGCGGCATCCCTGGGGGCTGGCACCGAGGGGCCGAGCGGCTCTGTGACAGCAGCTGCAACCAAAACCCCCGTCCATACAAGGGCCCATCTGCTCCTGGTCCAGCCGGGCACACTGCCCCATGGAGTCGAGGATAGCCCCATCCAGCAGCCCCCAAGGGG